GGCTCCTAAATGAAAAGCTACTACAGACTCTCCGAGCCCACCACTAGCAACGACTAATGTTCCATCAGCGGTGACCTCCGTCAATGCTGCCATCGTTGAGCAACTCGTTGCTTGCATCAAAGCTCTTGAGTGCCATCAAGAAATGAGCATCGATGGCTCAAGCTATGCTAGAAGAGTTGCTGGACTACCTCTCCCAAGAGAAGACTATTGCGTCAACTCCGAGAGGTCCTTCATATTTGACAACTGTCAAGCTTCAGCTCCTGCGGACGACATTCAGCAACATGCACAGTCAGAATCAATTGCAACCATGCAAACAAAGTCCATTCTGACATTAAAGCTGAATACTTCAACTCCATTTGATGGAAAAGTCTTCTACACGTGGAGCTTCGAGTTTGAACTCCTCGCAACAACCGCGCAAATCTGGATGTACTACGACAGGAGCTTACCTTTTCCAACAGAAGGAACTCTCAAGGAAATGAATCAGTACTACTACAAGTTCCTCCTCGCGAACACTGCGCTTCTCCGAAATCTCTCCCTCGTCGAGTAGCTTGGCATTCGTTCCTACAAAGACGGAGTGCGCTCTTGCACAAGTGTCTTGGGAGCACCTGCGCAGTTCAGACATGGCAACAGATCCAATAACCATGAGACGCCTTCTCAGCCAATTGACATCAGCCAAAATGACTCAAGGGGAGAAAGCGGGACCGTATATTAATCGGTGCAAAAAATTGCGTGATCAATTTATGGCGGAAACCGTCCTTGGTGACATGTTTGTCTCTATAGTCCTTTCTGGACTAGGACCAGAGTGGCGGAAGTGCCATTCGTTGCTTCGTGCTCGAGCAACCATCTCCGAGTCTGCCCTCTGTGCCACACTCCTCTTCGAACAAAAGGAGATCAATCTGTACAACGAGAAAACCTGAAGAAGGGAGAAGTTCGTGTTTTTCGCTGGAGCAACTGAAGGGGAGTCACGAGAAGAAGGGATTCTTCCTCAAGTACTGCAAAAGGTTGGGTCACACCATTAAGCGACGCTACAAGCGAAAGGATGCTAACGAGAGGCGCATCAGCAACTCACTCGGTCAACAACCTTCGGTGCCTCCTTCAACTCCAGCCGTGACAGCGACAATGTCGCCACCTTCGGTCGCAAGCACTTCGCAAACTCCTGCTTGCATCTGATCCAAGGATAAAGGAAAGGGATCAATTCTGAGTTGCATGGTGCGTCGCAGAGGCATTCGCTACTACGACGGAGTACAATACCCGCCAATCGCTCCAATAGAGCCAATCACTCCGAGCCCCAACAATGACCCCCCACTCAATCTCCCACTTGACTTTGAGTTGCCTCTGAGCACACCGTAGCCTCCTCCAGGTTTCCTCGCAAGGCACGAGAATGATATTTCGCCTTATTGCGTTGATGTTGATTGATTATTACTGCAAAATTCGCCAGCATTGCGCGACGAAGCCGCGACAACTTTAACACGTGATACCTTGATAGTTGCTGCGGACAACACATGGTGGGGTCACCGAAATACATCAGCAACTCGAAGCAGATGCGACGACCGTGCGAAATCACAGCCGCAAACAACAATCGACTGCAAGCTTACAACATCGGAGAAGTTTACCTCGAGTCGGATGACACCCACTTACACCATCCACATCGGAGACGTCCTGGTCATCGCTGACCTCCATTTTAAACTTCTCTCTACAGCTCAACTCATATGCGGAGTTGACATCCGAAGTAACTGCGAAGATAAAAGCTTCGAACTGTATTACAATAACACTTACATCGGGGAGGCAAACGACAAAGACGGGGTCTTCGTCTTAAACTTTCCATTGCAGGGCAACACTGTGACTCGAACAGAGCGCTTCTGCTGAAGACAACACCCACCGAAACGCCGAACTGGTTACATCCCGAAGAAATGGATCTTGAACGCCCCGCATCAGATGGTCTTCTCCGCCTGCACACCGTTCCAACCGCTTCGACCTCCACTCCCGGAGTTACTGGATCTGCAACGATGGAACAAGAAGCAGATAGTGGGAAGTCAGCAATGGCAGGGCAAGCTGGCACTGGAGGATGGGGAACTTTGGGAGCAGCTGCTCCCGGATGGACCAACACTTGTGTCACAGACACCGGCGACAGGAGTTTCCCCCGGAGGCAGATGGGGAGCGTCAGCTTCTTAAGGCGCCTGGAGACCACCAAGCCTTCCTTATCCCGAAGCCTCGACACTCCGTGGCAGAAATAGATCCATACTGGGCGTTGCGCCGGACCAGTTGGGGTGGACCTCCTCTTCCAGATCAATATCTATAAGAACCTGCAAAGGAGGAACGAGAAGAGTCAGAAGGCATGATCTACAATTTTGGAGAAGCAGCGGAGGTACCCGAACCTACCGAGAAAGCGCCACCGCCGGAACAAGGACCTTCACTAATCTCCATCACCGGCAATGAATACCTTTATCATCGTATTCCAAGTGGTCAGAAACAACGCCGCCTCAACAACTCATGCCAATCACCGACGACTCCATTCACGTCGTTGACGCAGACGACATCATCGACATCAACGGAGCCAATCTTCACCAAGCATCAACCCAAGCCTTCGCTGTCGATGTACGCCCCACCGCCGACAAAGGTCACGTAACACCACAATGGAGGAAGAAAAGAGAAACAAGTATTACAAGAGGACAGTCGGCTATCATGCAGAACAAAAAATATGGCACCAGCGGCTTGGACACCCATCACACGCCACACTCAAAAACTCCATCGAAGCAGAAGTCTTCGACACGAATGTGTTACTCATACCTGGCGGTGATACGCTCAAAGTGACATCTGCTGATCCTCCGTGCATCGTTTGCCCAACCGCGTCACTCACTCACAAACCCTTTCCGGACTTACCTCCAGGCTAAGAACGATACAAACCGCTCGAAAAGGTCCACAACGAATTCATGATACTTAGCCAGGAAGGACTCGACGGCGAACAAAACACCATGACGTTCATTGATGCCTGCATGCCCTATGTCTGGGCCGTCAACATTGATTATCGCTCGCGAGCCTTCGACTGCTTCGTGACATGGATGAAGCAGGCCGAACGTCAATAGGGACTGAAGCTGAAGAGCTTCCAGACAGACATGGATTTGGAGTACTTCTCCAACGAGTTCAATGAGCTCTTCGCCAAGAAATGGATTGAGCACCTCGTCTCCGTGCCCTACGCACACGAGCAGCAAGGAGTAGCAGAATGGACAAACAGGAGCCTCGCCACAAGAGTGAGGGCCCTGGTGAAGCAGTCTGCCATCTCAACGAGGTTTTGGCCATTTGCGATGAACCATGCCATTTGGCTGCACAACTTGCTGTCCTCTAAAGCCTCGAGAATAACACCTCACCTTACAAAGCTTGGACGGGCAGAAAAGCTTACACACGCGTGCTTCAGGTATTTGGCTGCATGGTACAAGGAGTGCTTTAAAAAAAACTTTTGAAATGATATCCCCAAAAAGTGAAACTGATTATATAGGGTTGCTACGCAACCCAAAAACGGCCTGACAGATTATGCGTATTTCATATATGTTTGACGATTTTGCACACAGTAACGAAAAGTGTTTTCCTTGCCTGAATCCACAATGCAACAAAGAGTACAGCGAAATTTATGTGGGCCCGCCGAGTTACCCGGCCTTCACCGGGGCAGGGAGGTGCACTCGTAACTTTACCTCAACCAAGAAACAAAACCTGATCGTGATTTCTTCCCACCTCATCCCACCCCTTTGCTTCTCCCTCTCGCATACCTTGTCGCCACATCCCCATTCAAGCCTCGCCTCACCACCTCTCGAAGCAGCCATTTTTTGTCGCTCTGGCGCTCATCATTGCATCTCCACCTCACCACACCACCAATTCACATAAGGGCGCGTGTCTTTTGAAATTTATATGCAAAACTAGAGTTTTTGGTTGAACTATACACAGTTGAACCTAGGTCGACCTAGGCTCGACAATCGGCAGCTGTAGCCCGAGTCGCTCCTCAACTCACAAATATCACAGGACACACGAAAGTTCGACTATCGAAGTTGAACCTTCCCGAGTCGCGTCCAGATCTCGTAGGCTACCCGGAACACTATTTTCTGAAGTCGCTCGTGCGAACGACATGTGCTGCGACTGTCGTCAATTTCGCAAATACCTAGTGTATTGTCAAAAGGACACACGAGTGAATTTTCGTTCACGCATGGTTTGAGCAGAAAGATTTAACCCAGGTTTAGTGTACTACTTCATCTACAATGTTGTACTAGGACACACGCGCACAAGCGAATCAAATGGCGACATTCGCGAAAAGGGTTACCATTTTCAACCAAATACCGAGCCTTTACAGCAAAAGAAACGCGCCCTAACACTCGTCATCATGAAGCAGACCTGCTCGCTCTCGCAGCCTCTGTCCCTCCCGAACGAAACAGCTTCCATGATCAATGTGCGGCGCTTCACGCATTCCTGCTGTTGAACGCATCTGCCGCGCGTCGCATCGCATATGCATGTCACGCTCACGCCATTCGTTAGTGGCGAGTTCCGTCGTCGAGCGACCGTTTCAACGGCGATTGTCAACGGACGGGCGACGTGTAGCCTCGCGGAAAAGGCATTGCGTAAGGGTATGTTCTGTTACTGTCGACTAGTATCGGATAATTGCTTCGGCATAGTACTGTTCATCGTGAGATTTTCTGCCGGGGCAATGTTCCGGGTACCTACTGCTAGTACTAGTAACACTGGGCGACGAAACAGTTTCCGTCCCCATTTCTCCCCGCGCACTGGCCCGACCAGTCACGAGTCTTCCTCTCTCCCGTCATGCAAGGTGGCTCAAACCTCTGAATTTAAGTCAGCTCGTGCACCCGTCACACAGCCCGTGATATGCACATCTCTGAGACGCTCACGCCTCGACGACTCCTTTCTTCTTCTAGCAGTGCCCGCTACTACTGGCGCCGCCGGGACTCCCGGAGCGACTAGGCGTGTAATACTGGCCGAGAAGAGCGGCGTCGTTCGTCGTCATGGTTCCCGACACGGACGACACGGGCGGCACCTCTACTACTGCTACATGCAGTAGTCGTAGAGCAGGAGCTGATCCGAGTCGCACCTCAAATGCTACTACTACTAGCAGTCGTGCGGCTCGGATCAGCTCTTGTTCTACGACTGCCAGACCCCACTCTAAGTCATTCCGCCCTACTAGCAGCGGCGCGGACGCGGTGAACTTGACGCCGCCCCTTCCCCACACCGGCGGACGCGCGTACGCCGCCGTGGATGCCGCTAGCAGCAGTATCAGTCGATCTGCCTCCTACGGTGCTTCATCGCCGCGTTCTCGCACCGCGGAACGCCTCAGCACCGAGTGCGCAATGAACACAACTTCGTCATCGTCAGCGGCGGACATCGACGTGGCGGCGTCCCCCTGGCTTCCGCCTGTTATTACTGCCGTCGCGCCGCGGCGGAGCCCGCACGCTGGGAACGCCAGCGTTCGGCAGAAACCGCGCAGGCTCGTACTAGTACCTACTACTGCTAGTACTACTAGCAGATGCGATCTCGCAGATCTTGTGGTTCCGGTGGACAGCACCTGCGGAGCCAGTTTTGCCGCGGTGACGCCTTCCGCCGCCGCGCGCAGCCCGCACGCGGAAGTTGTTCGGCGGAAAGCCGCGCCGTCGTTCGAGATGGACGCGGAGTGGCGCGACGATGCGGCGGCGGCGGCTTCCGCGAAGCCTGCGCTTAGCGGATGCTCAGCTGCAGAAGGCGCAAGCGTTAAGCAAGGCGGAGGCGACGAGGGCGCAAGAGCAATCTCAGGCGGCAAAGGCGCAAAGACTCGGAAGTCAGTCGCGGAAAGCAGCGCCCCCCCTGAAAGCAGCGCCACCGCAGAAAGCAGCGCCACCGCCGGTCACTCGCCTGATGACAGCGCTGGCGTGTACGTCGGCCGGTGTTTCCCCCGCCTCTTGCACAGCGGGCCGCGAGCGGAAACTCTTACGGGTGGGCGGAAGATACGCGCCGGAGGTTCCGCCACAAGTGTTCCGCCTGTGCGCGGGGCTTCCGCCGACCGTTTCCGTTTCCTCCGCTCCCGGTCGACGTCGCACTTGGATGAGAGAAGAGGGGGAGGGGGAGGGGGAGGGGGAGGAGGAGGAGGGGAGCTTTCATTATTCGAAGGGGCGGGTGTTGAAGCAGCAGCAACAGCAGCAGCATCTCAGCAAAAGCAGGAACCCTCTTCTCCTGCCAACATCTCTTCAGCCTCTCCTCCTCTTGCCGCCGTGGCATCTTCACCTCGCCATCCGCCCCATCCGCCTGTTGATGCGTCCCATTCGCCCCATCCACCCTCGTCGCATTCACCTCGACTCGCGCCCTCCCCTCGATCTCGACTGAGTTGTCACCTCGTCCCCTCTCCTCGACTAGCTCGCCTCCTCTTCACCTCCTCACCTCCCCATCGCGCCCTCGGTCCGCCGCCTTCGCACAATTGTCGAACCTCTCGCAGGGCAGCATCGGCGACAGAACGTGACTTTGTGGCTTTCGCGAATCTCGGAAATTTCGGAGATTCCGAGGGATTCGAAGCGTTCAAGGCCCTCGAAGCTCCAAGCTCTACTAGTATGCACGGCCATACTTCAAGGTACGGCTACACGGCTTGTATCGCGCCTCGGAGCAACCGCGTCGTCCGCAGAGCACAGTCCACCATAGAACGCGGCTCCGCCACATCCCCTCGCGCTTGCTCCGCCACATCCCCTCGCGCTTGCTCCCCCAAAAGTCGCTCCGACTCGTTCCGCCCCACGAGTGCCCGCGCCTCTGCTGCTGACATTGTCAGAAACGGAACCATCCGTGGCACTTATGATGAAGAGGAGGATACGCATGACGGAGTCATGACGGCGCGGTCAGTGCAGCGCGACGGGGCAGCAAGGGGAGTTGCCGTGGAGGAAAAGGGCGGGGCAGCAAGGGAAGTTGCCGTGGAGGAAAAGGGCGGTGCAGCAAGGGGAGTTGCCGTGGAGGAAAAGGGCGGTGCAGCAAGGGGAGTTGCCGTGGAGGAAAAGGGCGGTGCAGCAAGGGGAGTTGCCGTGGAGGAAAAGGGCGGTGCAGCAAGGGGAGTTGCCGTGGAGGAAAAGGGCGGTGCAGCAAGGGGAGTTGCCGTGGAGGAAAAGGGCGGTGCAGCAAGGGGAGTTGCCGTGGAGGAAAAGGGCGGTGCAGCAAGGGGAGTTGCCGTGGAGGAAAAGGGCGGTGCAGCAAGGGGAGTTGCCGCGGGGGAGCAGTCACATAGGGAAGAGATCTGTAGCAAGCAATCACCTATGGACGCTCCAAGATTGTCCGCTGGCAGCACCACAACACCAACTGGCCAACACAACCCTTCCCCATCCAACGTCCCCAGCCCCCCTTCCATTACCACTCACCCAAGTCAACCCGACTCCGCAACCTCGTCCTCCAAGTCCCCCTCTCCCCTCTGCCATTGCCATCCCCCCACTCTCCCCAGTCCCAACCTCCCCATCTCCCCCCCCTATCCCCCTTCCGTCGGCCCATCCAAGCCCCCGCGATCCCCCACTCATTCCCCCAAGCTTTCTCTGTGCAACTCCGTCCTCCAAGTTCCCCCATCCGGGCCTCCTGCTCTTCCCCCATCCGGGCCTCCTGCTCTTCCCCCATCCGGGCCTCCTGCTCTTCCCCCATCCGGGCATCCTGCTCTTCCCCCATCCGGGCCTCCTGCTCTTCCCCCATCCGGGCCTCCTGCTCTTCCCCCATCCCGGCCCCCAAGCTCTTCCTCCATCCGGGCCTCCTGCTCTGTTGACAATCCCGGGGGGGAGCGGCTTGGTGAAGAGGCAGCAGGGAGGGTAGTGGTCCCAAGCTTGAGGGTTGGCTTTATAGGAGGAAAAGGGGATAGCCCCAGCCGCCCTTGCTCTGGTTCTGAGGCGCCTCAAGAAGAGAATCTGCACTCACACCAGAGAAGAGAGGGAGTTGGCGATGGTGGGCAAAGAGAAGGAGTTGGCAGTGGTGGTGGGCGAAGAGAAGGAGTTGGCAGTGGTGGTGGGCGAAGAGAAGGAGTTGGCAGTGGTGGTGGGCGAAGAGAAGATGTGCCCCACGGCTATTCCTCCTCACTGCTCCACCCTCTCTCTGTCCCAGGCAGTCTCAGAGTGGAGCAAGTTGCACACCAGTTGATGAGAGTGGGGCAAGATGCGCAGCAGCTGACAGGGATGCACCAAGATGGTCAACACTTGGTAAGAATTGACCAAGGCACACGGCACTTCACAAGGTCGCAGAGTGATGGGTGCAATCCCTTAAACGGCACACCGACTGGAAGCCCGGGTGGGCTGTTTGGAGCAAATGCAAGGTTTGCTGATAGGTCCGGGTCGGCAGATGAGGAGTCCTGGAGGGGTGGGCAGGAGGAGGTCTCTTGATATGCAGCCAAGGAATCCTGTCAGATCGGGTGTATTGTTGGTGGATGGGGGTGGGTTGGGAGGGAGAGGTGGCAGGGAGAAGGTGGAGAGGGATGCGAATGGGCATGAGTCGGCCGAATCAGAAAGCCCTTTTCCTCCCAAGAGCCCTGTGAAGTCTTGTTTATCGCTTGCAGATGGAATTGGGAGTGGGGATGGGAGTGGGTTGGGAGGGAGAGGCAGGCTGAAGAAGCAAGTCTCGTTCAACCAGGTGGTCCATGTTCGCCGGTTTCACTCGTGCGAAGATTTTCCGGACTTTAGTCTGGGTTGACATGGCATTGAGAATTGTCTGTTTTGTCTTGGGAATATATTAGCACAAGCGTTTGGTGTCAGCAAAATTCAAGGCGTACAGACTTTTGTTACAAAAGTTCGCAAGAAGTGTGCTTTGTTTTCTGCGAACGCGCACACTCCTCGTCCACCTTCCTGATTGGTACCAAAGCCAGCATTCCAGCAGTCAGAATTCCTCTCACATGTCCCCAAAACTGAAACAAACCGAAACCAGGTCAGTGACAGTCCAGCAAGATATTTCGGAATCACAGTGGGCGGCAGACGGTTTGATTCGTTTCTGAAAGTTTGCATGGGTTACACAGTGGTCAGAGATGTTCCTCACAAACACCTCTACCTTGAAGAGTCCTCCCTCCTGAGCCGGCAGCTTGTTCTTTGAAGGAACTCTCTAGTAGCCATCTTTATTGTCCTGCTGCATTACAGCTTATTATTTTTATTCTGCCGAACCTCCTAGCGTGTGAGATTACGGGCTCCATCCACCTACGATGATTTATCACGCGCTGATCATATCATGCTCCTCGTTGTGCCTTAGATGGCGACGTATACCAATTTTCGTTAAAAATCAACGCGGAGGTCACCGTAAGCCACCTGTCGTTGCACGTTGTTCCAAACACCTCCGCTGAAGGTAGTTGGTGCGCGTGTCGACGGAGTCACAGCGTAACGAACCTGAATACGCCAACTATGGCTCTAGTAGGACGTGAAGGCACGACGACAAAGCCTCGAAAAATGGCGGCAAGCTGAGAAGTTCTTGACGGCTCACACCCGCATCGCACTCGCTCTCGCTCTTTCGTTCGTTCTCATTGGACTCTACACATACTGCATTTCCTTTCTCCTGATTCGTTATACAAAAATCGCCTCCATGATCCCCGATTCCACCGCTTCCGTTGTTGCTCCGTGTCATTCTGACGTGGCACACGCTCCCGGGGGCCACGTCAGCAATATCGCGAAGAACATCTCATAGACACGACGAGTTTCTAGAATCCCAGAAGCCACGCCAGCCGAATCCGCTGCGATTCGATCCCTCATCCCAAATTTGTTCGGCATAAATACTATGTACCTGCTATGTGTGTACATGCTGAACCATTAGTGCTTACTATGTACCTATGAACTATGTTAAGTATAGGTTCTGCGACTTACAACCTACTCTACACCTGGAAATAAGGTAAGTGCTATGTGGATACTCAAATTTTGGGTAGAACGTACAATGTACATATTCTTCAAACAGAAATTCCATACTCATACCATCCTGATACAGTCTGTACGAAGTTCAAACTATGACCCTACTCCTCAGAAACCTGAAGTCAGTACATTGTACATACTATGCCCTTTTAACGTGAGTACTGTGGCCTTATAATGTGACTACATTATAGGTATTTTCAGCGCATTGCTGCGTATTTACTTTTTATTTCAGGCTGCTGCTTTTTATCATATGGCGCGTAGCTAGATTTGTCACTGAATCGCATATATTAACCAATATGTACATGGTTACACATACATAATCATCTAGGAAAGTCTCCACAATAACTATAACATGGAGTCAAGTCACAGACAGCCATGTGTCTTCACACTGAAGGATCCTCGTACGAGCGTGACGAGGTCTCATCCTTCCCTGCAAAAACGGGAAACAAGTTGATACATTCAATGACGTCGCTGGAAAATGCTGAAAGTGAAGATAACTTATAGGGTATGCTGCTTAAACAGTGAAGTCGCCGGCAAATCCACGTCGCTGAAATGTGTGCGATTCACAACCACAACGAGAAATCAGGCCTGCTGAAACTGTCAAGTTGCTTGCAAAACCATGGAGTGTTAGTGCTGAAAACGGCTCATATACAGCAAGAAGATCAATAGTCATGCCTGGAAGGTACTGAATGAAGAAACCAGACGATAGCGAGGTAGCCGGTTAACTGGGATACGGAACAGCGACTAAGGTTGAAACAATAGCCATAAGGGGAAGACAACTGGCTTGAAGCATAATGAAGAGCTAGGAAAAGGGACTACGGCTAGAAACACGATCGTAGCGGAAAACTAACTAGAATGGAAACAATCGATCGAGGAAATGGAAATAGGTTTGGTGCTTAGGTTGGCATATATGTGGCGTGACTGCTTGCCCGAAATCAATGTGATGAAACATCGACCAATCAGAACAATTCTGCATTATCTTCTGCTGCCAGCTCATTTCATCTCTCGATCCTGTCAGAATGTGATGTTTGTGTAGCCCGCAGTGGGGTACTCTATAGCGAGTACAGCCCGAATTAGGGTTTGCTACATGTACTCAACTGCATGCTAGTGAAAACCCTCTTCCTTGTTTCTCGTTTTCGCCTGCTGTTTCGACATGCTATCAGAGCAGGTCGACCCTCCTGGGTCGATCCTGTGGGTGGGCCCCACCCGATGCTTCCGCTGCTCTACTGCCTGTAGCGTGCCCCGGGCGCGCGCCGTTTTTCTTCCTGCCGTGCTTTCGGAGCGCGCAGCGCGCGGCGGTTTTCTGCCCTGCCCGCCGCGCGCTGCCCCGGTGACCCGCGCGTCGCCCCCCGTCGCCCGACGCGGCCCGCGCGACCTGCTCCAGGCCCGCGCGCGGCCCGTACGGGCTGCGCCAGGCCCGCGCGCGGCCCGGGCAGCCCGCGCGCGGTTCGTCCCGAGCTTCTGACCGCGCCCCACCCCCGCTGCTGCCCGCACTCCTGTGTTAGGGTTTGGGGGTGGAGAGTATGGGGGTGCAGGGTGTGTGAGCCGTCCCCTGCTCCTCCTACTCCTCCGTCTCCCACTGCTGCAGCTGCCGCTGAGGGGGGTGGATGTCTTGGAGCCGTCGGAGTGGTACGAGGGGGGTGGCGTGTGAACAGTGCTAGAGGTGCAGCAGGGAGTGTGTGAAAGGGGTGTGGGACAGTTGGGGGAGGTTGACCGGAGGTAGCCGACTTGTCGTCCGCAGCGCTTGAAGTCCACAGAGCCACGACCCCCTGTAGCCTGAGTAGTCTGGGGCTCTGCGCCCGGTAGCCACAGTGCGAGCACTCCTGGTAGTCCAGAGAGCCACGACCCCCTGTGGCCTGAGTAGTCCAGGGCTCTGCGCCCGGTAGCCACAGTGTGTGCACTCCTAGGAGCACAGAGAGCCAGCTGCGCCTGTCGCCGTGTAGTCCGGGTTTAGCCTGGTAGCGACAGTTCTGCGCACTCCTGTTGCCCGTGTGTCTGCAGCTTCAGCCGTCGTCTTGCATCTTCTCGCCCCCACAGTTTCTCCTCCTCCTCACTTGCTCTCTGTGATAGCCTCTAGCTTTGCTTATAATTGTGAACTACTGCTCTGCCTGCTTGTTGTGTTGATTGTACCCCACTTTGTCTATGGGGGTGTGTCAGAATGTGATGTTTGTGTAGCCTGCAGTGGGGTACTCTATAGCGAGTACAGCCCGAATTAGGGTTTGCTATATGTACTCAACTGCATGCTAGTGAAAACCCTCTTCTTTGTTTCTCGTTTTCGCCTGCTGTTTCGACAGATCCTAACCACCAGCACCTGATGAATCGACGGCTGTTATTTGAGATCACTCACTGCAATCCACATGAAGGTCCAGAAGTCATAGACGGCTGAGATTCCAACTATACACACCTCACATCTTTGATATCGACGGCTGGAAAACCATATCACAATGTGCTGATCGACGGTTGTCATTCCAACTTGGAGCTAAAACATAAGTTTCAATCTTCACCGTTCCCATTTGTTGACATCAACGGTTCAGTTTCCAACCTCGACGAATTTAGCCAATGACCCTGATTGTAATCTTGTCCGTTCGTGTGTATTTAAATCGACGGACATCCTTTCTCTTACTACCACACTCAAACAGTCCGGGTAAACTCACGCAAACACCCAAGAGTAAAACTCAATAGATACGAAGTCAGAACACTGCAGCGAGTCATTTGACAAGGCAAGGTATCTACCGTATCACGAGCCACAGAGTCGACGCCAAGACGGAATAGTTTACGGACTGAGATTTTACTTCTGACAAAGTACAATGTGTCTAGTTTATTATGGGGTATTGTCTGGGTGAGAGATGGCTATAAAACTCCCGCACATCTACAACGCTTCGACTTCAACTTTACTTTGTTCCTGGCACCGAGGAAGGTACTTCAAAATTGATTACGACTTCCCCCCCAGAACGATTTTTGGGAGGCTCCAACTGCGGCGATCAGCCGATTGCCGCCGTCAATCAACCGCCGTCTACCGCCGTCAATCAAACACCCACTGGCGATCAACTCGCCGTTGCCGATGAGATTGTTAAAGTACTAGTACCCGATTTTCCTCGCGTTCCAGTCCCAGCACACCCTTTCGCCTGTGCGCGGCACAACCGTTGTCTCGCCCGTGAAAGCATTCCCATCAGATCTCCCATCCTCAGGCCCAGCATCTCCCGAGGCGCCTAAAATATCATCGCCACTGTTTATTGGGGTGCCGGAACAATCATCCTCAGCAGAATCAGGTGTCAACCCATCCGCATCATCCTCATCATCCAACCATGATGGTCTTACCACTGGATCTCCCCCGCTCACCAAACCTCCCACCAATCCTCCCACCAACCCTCCCACCAAACCTCCTACTAATCCTCCTACTACCGAACCTCCTGCCAGACCTCCTGGTACAGATGCTATCACCAATTCCCCCACCACCCCTCCCGTCAACCCTCCAACCAATCATCCCACCAACCTTCCTG